AGGAGAGTTGGCAGGCCAGTTGAGCCCAGTAATACCATGGTCAGTAAACCATTTACCAGTGGTTTTGGCACTGTGAGCAGGTACCAGGTCGTGCTGAAAAATGAAATCTTCATCTCCATAAAGCTTTTCAGCAGATGGAAGCACGAAGTGCTCCAAAGTCTGATAGCTAGCTGCACTGACCCTGGCCTTGATAAAACACAATGGACCAACACCAGCAGCTGACATGGTACCCCAGATCATCACTGACTGTGGGTACTTGACACTGGACTTCAGGCATTTTGGTTAATTTGTTGATTCAGATGATTAGGTTAATAAGTCGTTTAGAGAACCTTTTCATGATATGCTAATTTTTTGAGATGGGGATTTTTGGTTTTTCTTTACTTTTTTGCCAAAATTATCAATATTAAAACAATAAAAGGCTTGAACTACTTCAGTTGGTGTGCAATGAATCTAAAATATATGAAAGTTTAATGTTTATCAGTACATTACAGAAAATAATGAACTTTATCACAATATGCTAATTTTTTGAGAAGGACCTGAATATCTGTCTCAAACTTAACCCTCTTGCTGTCCCAAAATGACGCACAATGCCTCTGTTGAAGCCTTGTGGCAAGTCTAAAAGAAAAGCTATGAAAAAGAGAAAAAAAATAGAAAATCTTTTACATTAGTCTCCCCTTCCTCCTTTCTTGTTATTTTTGTAATTTTTTTCATTCTCATGCTTGTCTTTAACTTGTAGGACCCAATTGGGGAAGAAACAGATCGGAATCACAGGTTTAGACTGTAAAAAAAGTGAAATTTCAGAAATGAGTTTGTCTGAAAACAATTGCTGAATTTTTTAAAGTGAGACAGACATAAAAATAACAGTAAAAACTTCCCCAGTGTTGTTTTAGTTCCTATAGGCACAAGTGAGTATGTGCACAAAAGGTTGCTATTTCATAATTTCCAAAAAAGATGTTTCTCCTGTCTGCACTGATCCATCAACATCAGTTCTTCTAATTTTTTTTGTAAATATCAGTTCTTCTCCCCAAAAACCCAGTTAAAAACATGAGGCATCAGCTCAACAGAAAATTCCCTTTTTTATTTTAATTTGCCAAGTCATGTGACTCACCTGAACGGGTTGGCAGGCAGGCTGATGTTCTGGAAGGGGTCGTTGGTGAGAATGTTGAAGGAGAGGAAGGGCAGGGAGATGAAGCAGGCGACCAGCCACGTGAGCCCCACAGCCAGGTAAGAGTGGCCAGCAGCGGGGGACCAACCGGTGGGATGGAGGATCAGCTGGTGACGCTCCAGAGCGATGAGCACCAAGGAGAAGATAGACACTGTCACAGACATGCACTGAACAAATGGAGTCACCTGGATGGGCAAAAAAACAAACAAGCATACTTCAGATTTTCATGTGAATCCCAGTGTAACTTTCCCATGTTTAGGCTCCAAGTTAGCTTCGCTGCAAAAACTCTAACATTTATTTCATCATCTGAATTCTCCAAGGAGGCAATTTGTTATTGTCAGTTTTCATCCTGGCTCTTGTTGCAAGAGTGTGTTCGTGTGCAGCAATTTATTTAATGAGAAATAGTCATCCCACACTTTGTTAAACTGCAGCACGTTACCAACTAAAGGGACATCTCTAGCCTCATTATCCCATCCTGAAACTCTGGCTCACAGACAGACTCAGGGCAAAAAAGTGGTTTCAGCAATTAAATGATTTCCTGTGTTCAGACTTTTAAAGTTTTCCATCTCACCAGTTTGATTGATTTAGTGAGCAGGGAGAACTAATGTTTATCCAATCTGTGCCCTAGGCTAACATGGGCCAACATCCAAATAGGAGAGTTGCAACCCTCCCAAAAAATGATATTGTAATTAGTTTCAGCTTGTTTTTCTCCCAGAACCACCCGGAGGCATGATTGCTGAATGACAAATAAAAGAACACAATTTTTATATTGTTCTATATTGCATATCCAGCATCTCCAAAGTGTGTCATTTATCCAGGGATGTATTATTATTATTTTTATTTCAGAGGTGTAAAATCTACATTTAAAGGTAAATAAAAAAAAATGATGGGGAGGGTTTGAGTGGTATTTGGAGATGATTGCTTACATGTAAATTTAACCAAAAGCAGGAAGACTAATTTGCTGTCACTTAGGACATGCTTGAAACATTTGTCTAAACTTTGCCTCTGTGTATGTGCAAATGAGATCTGTAACCTCAGTGGGAATTGCCTGCTTAAATAAATAAATAAATAAATAAATAAATAAATCTAAGGTTCCCTTTACATTGAATGACAACACTGGTGTAGGATTAAAAAAATGGCCATAACATGGATGGTCTTTGCAGGGTCATTGCAAGAGTTTCCGGTGCATTTTAAACATGCCATAAGCTCAGCATTGTTCATGATGGGTTCATGATATTTTTGAGTGTGCACAAAACGTTGGTAGTGATGTCACGGTAGTTTATTATTGTGCTGCAAGTATACTGGATTCGTGGGTGGAGTGTGGTGGCATTGTATCGACGAGACCCACACACAGTGGCCATAGCTTGGTTGTTGAGAATTGGAAGTGTTGTTTGTTCAAAATTAAGCCAAGAACTCAGATTGACAGCTGGCAAGATTTAATTGGACACTCATAATTATGGTTTCACATTCAGTTTTGCAGTCTGTCTCTTTCGCTCTTTGAGGGTAGCAAAAGTAATACTTAGTCTCTAGTTGTATTCATGGCAGTAGTAGAACACAACGTTACACTCTTCAACTGACATCGTCTTCACAAATAGGCATGTTTTTATAACCTTGGTATCGTTCATGGCCTCCTTCACAATGCGCAATGCTTATTTCTCGCAGGTTTATTAACTTTAAAATTTAAATGCAACCTCCATCAGACTAAAGTGTGAACAGCAGTGGTGGGCACCAGCCCGCTAAAGCGCAACTCCGCTAATTGCGGACATAAATATTTTGCTTGCAGTCTTACTAATTTTTATAATTCATAAGCGGATTTGCACTTTCTAAAATTAAAATGCAGTACTGCTACTAACTAATTATCTACCAGTCATGATTATCTTGAACAGCGGAAGGGATGGCTGTCAATGAATCACAACACAGTTGATCTATCCAACAACACTCCTCTCAGATAAACACACTTATTGGGAAGGTATACATCCTTGATAACTGTTGCTTTCGGTCACAGTTCTGATTTCCCACAATGCTTTGTGTCTGCTTACGTAGCAGGAAGGCAACAGCAAAAACAGTAAACGTTTGTAATCCATACTAAAATTTTGTATGTATTTATTTATTTATTTTACTTTACAATCAGAGCTCCTTTAAAAAAAAGTTTAAACGCTGGAGCTCAATACTTGACGTAATTGGTCGAAGCAATCGGCCAACAGGGTTTGAGACGGAGAAATGATTTAAAGCTGTTATGCTGAAGACTGACATCTAGTGGTCAACTGGTGCAACTACATGTAAAACTTTAAAATCAAAGCTCTTATTTTGAAGGGAAAATAGTTTCCTGTTCTCCGTGCTTTCGTTTCCCGTCACAAGTCAAATCCGTCATGTACCCAGAATGCATCGCTTCAATTTTCCAATAAACAGTTTTAAAATTACTTTATTGATGCTTCTTTAATGAAAAATCTACAACAAACAAAAGAAAAAGACAAAGAAGCAGCCGAACTAGCAATCCTCAACAACTTTTTAAAGAATCAGCCGAACTAGCAATCCTCAACAACTTTTTAAAGAATCAGCCGAACTAGCAATCCTCAACAACTTTTTAAAGAATCAGCCGAACCTCCGAGGGGAGGTTCTGGATAACAAAACATATGGTACCACCTATGTGACGGAATTACACATATGCCGTACATGAAGACATATATCCCTGCGTGATGACATCACTTGTTTAAAGTTGGACAGCTCTATTCAACAAACGGCTCATCAAGATCCGGATTCCTTCAAAGAGCCATTTATCCCATCTCTACTATACATTTCAGAATGTGTGCATCGATTGTGAAGTTGTGCAATCTGAGCCAAATAAAATACGACCCACTGACCTTACACAGGGCCTCCCCTAGCACCCAGCGGTCCATCAGCGTGTAGATGACCGTAACCGGGAGACACACCACGCACATCAGGATATCTGAGCACGACAGGTTGGCGATGAGGATGTTGGTGACGTTGCGCAGCTCCTGTTGCCTGGTGATGATGAATACCAGGCCTGCATTGCCCAGCAACCCAATTGCTATGACAGCGCTGTATGCCACTATCAGGAAAGTGGCTCCGCCTACTGATGGTGGACACTGAGACGTATCCGCCCAGTGGGAGCCCTCCCAGGCACCGAGGATGGCGCTGTCGTTGGACATAGCAGGGAGGGGTAGGAGTTGGGTGGGGGAGATGTTAGGGGTTCAACAGGACCGGAGCCCTGAGGCTGCTGCTGAACTTCTCCCAGGAGACCGGAAGTGTGTGAGATCAGAGCAGAAATGACAGGATGAGGGACAGAGAGGAGGAGCAGGAACACGGTGATGGAGAACGCAGGTCGTGAGCAGGGTTCAGTGATGTGTTGTGAAGAATTTCAAGCGCAAACTGTGAGATTGTGTCTGATGGGTGCAGCAATTCATTTCTAGAAGTTGTCCTGTTTTTTCTTCTCCGCTGGCATCCCAGTAGATCGGTTCAGCATCAGCATTTCTCTGCAAAGGACAGAAAACAGAATGATGAAGGAGGCTCTCGACTGACAGTGAGGCGGTTTGAGGTGAACTAAGGTAAAAGTGGAGCTGTGCAGGCGAATGACTGAATATATTAGCTCATGCTGTGCTCCTTCTCATGTTCAACCTCTTTTCTTTTTCACTCCACAGAACTGCTCTCCAGCCCCCCACAGACACTCATTAACATACTGTATTGTTGATTTAATGGCACATTATGCAGTCTAGCTCACCAGGGATACGTTCTGTTTGTTGACGAGGCAAGAAAAACGTCCACGGTATGTTCGCCTGTTTAAACATCACAGTGTTGGCCTTTTTAAAGAAGTTCTGAAAGAACTCCTCAGAGACTGCTCACTTCAAAGCTGCTGAACATTCACACAGTCTGTTGGACAGAGAGCAACATGAAAGTGGAAGGCAAGAAAGACCAAAGACAAACGAGGGCAAAAAAGAAACCCTCCAACACTCAAATGTCATGCTGTTTCTATCTTTTACAAGTCTGTCTGCAGACAACTACTGTGATCAGTTGTACATCATGTGGTTTGAAGCACTAAAACACACTGACTGCGACAATGTTGTACAGTAAATATGTTCAAGTGAAGTTTCAGAATCTACACTTTACACAACCTGTGAAAGTTGGGATAAATAAAAACTAAGGACACCAATCCAAATCTTCTGAACAGTTCCACCCAATGAAGGATAGGAACTGAGTTACTGACAGTAAAGAGCTGTTTGTAGTTTTTTTTTTAATTCCTCATGACAACTTTTATTTTACTCCTTATCTACAGAGACAATCACATCTTCACTTTTTCATGAAAAACAGGCAGCACGATAGAGTACAGTAGGGGGGGACGCTTAAAAAACACATGGTTCCACCCACGTGAACCTGATGACATAACTTGTTCAAAATCGAACGGTTCTGTGAAACAAACGGCTCCTCAAGATCAAGATTCAAAGAGCCATTTATCCCATTTCTAAGTTGGACATCACCACAATGAGGACACTAAACAACACAACTATAAAATATGGTGATGGTAGCATCTTGATGATGATCTTTTCATTCTACATGGTGTGGTGCGGCTGCATGACGTTAAGGAAAGAAATTAATAAGGAGGAATACCTCCAATTTATTAAATTTCACCTCAAACCAACTAGCCTTCACGACAAACGTCTGTAATGGTCTTCCTAAAAGGTTTCACCTAAACCATACAGAATATCCGTAGACTATGCCTAAACCACCTGGTCTGTGCCTGGAAGCCAGCCAATTTCACCAACTCTGCCAAAAATAAAATTGTCCCATATTCAGACAAAACTGTACCTTTTTGATGGCTACACAAAAGTGTGTAATCAAGGTGCTTCTTGCAAAAGGACATTTACCTATTTTTACCATTATGTAGAAGTCTGACCCTGCAGTGAGTTTGAGGAAACACAACAAATTCAAACTTTATTTCATTTATATATCAACAATTTCTCTGAAACACAGATGTAATACTCTTGTGAATACAGAATGGAATATATTTTTACAACACTTTCTCAAAATGCAGGGGTGGGTGAATGTTGCTGGGAGGCCAGAGGAGATCAGTAGTGGAGCACTGACAATTGATCCCAGGAAAACACTCAGTTATGAACTGAGATCTTCCTGTTGTTTTTTCTAACTATCCACCGGAGCCCAGTTTCAGAAAGCAGGATAAGTGGAAATCCTGCGTATCACAGAGTCGGGTAAGTTGATTCAGAGTGTCGTGGAAATCTTTATTTTACCTTGACAGAAACACGAGGTCCAAAAATAAAAAGTACTCTGTGAATGGTCAACAAGATTTATTGCAATTGCAAGACACACATCATGTCACACAGGGAGTGGTACAGAATATGTGCACTGAGGCAGTTTCAGATACACTCATTTATACAGCAAACAGACAAAATCTGGGCCAAGGAGAGAATGATGTTTGATAAACAGCAACAAGAATGATTATTTCAAAACATATATTGTCCTGATCTTAAAACGCTTTGTCCGAGAGAAAACAGAAAATAAAGAGTAAAATCATAAAACATGATGACTTTTAAAGTAAGCAAAAGAGGTCACTGACTCTTATCCTGAGAAGAAATGTAGGACTTTAAAGGATAATTTATTTTTCCAAGACAAAGAGCATCTGCGTTGACCCAGGGTTTGTTAAGCCTGCTTTCTGAAACGAGGCCCAGTAAGTTCCAACAGTGCTGTTCAGTTTTTATTTCTGTATTATATGCTGGCTCTGTAGAAAGCACTCAGATCATGCAACCACTGTATTTGCCTTGAGTTATTGTTATAGATTAGAAGCTCAAGCAGAAAGATTTTTAAGCTGCATGCCTGCAGATGTCTGTCTGCATTATTCTATACATCTCATTGGTAAACACAACAGGACACAATTCTTTTTTGTGTTTAAACAAGTTCTCGAAAAGTGTTTCACACTCTTGGTTTCTGCTCAAAGATCCAGTATTGTCATCTCTCACATTAAAACCTGCCTTAGTTATATGCTGCTTTTTTAAAATCTTGGCTGAAAGTTAATTATATATTTTTATCAGATAAAAACGGCTTTGATTCTTCAGTTATGAGGGATCTTGTTACCCTAAACAAAAGACAGTAATGAAATGAATCTATACTTGTTCACTTCTGCAGGTTCCACCCTTTTAGTACAGACAGAGCAAAAGCTGATTTCCATACAAAGTGAATTTTTTTCGGAGGCCAATGAAAAAATAAAAAGGTGTCTGTTGCAGATGGTTCTGCTTGTTTTCAATTTTTAAATCCATTTTTTTTCCCTTTTCCATTGCACTGACATTTTTCTCCTTCCTACTATTGCTTTTCTTATTTCTTGGGACCGTCAGAGGGAAAAAAAAAACACCCAAGAGAAATGGTCCATTAAAAATGTAATTTGGTACTTATGCAGATCAGCAAAGAGTGCGTACATGATTCATTTTACATGAAACTAGTTTGTCTAATCGGAGGTGCGGTGGCTAGGGGTCGGCGATACTAGGAATTTTGGTATCAATCCCATACCAAGTGCACACATGGCTAGTATCGCTGGTAGCAATGTCAGTACGATTACTTGTCATGTTCATCCCATAATTCTGTGATTTTGCCTTTGATTAGTCAATTATTATAAAACACAGGACAAAGTAAAAAAAGTTTTGTATTAATTAACTGCAGCAATTTAAACAGTGTAATGAGCTTGTCATTGGAAGGTCGCTGGTTCGACTCCCTGGTCTGACCAGCCTACTCTGGGCACGTAACACCTCAGCTGCTCCTTGGACGCCTTAAAAATAGCATCCCACTGCTCCCCATGTGTGATGGATAAAATTCAGAGAATTAATTTCCCCACCAGGGAATCAATAAAGTATATACAGCACATACAGTATAAATAACAATGTCAGTACACAATAAAAAGTACTTTTCATTGCATACGGGCACGAGGAAGAGGAAGGATTTCAGCTAATGACCAACTTCAAATGATTTGGAGATGCTGTACTACTTTATTTTTCACTTTATGTGTGAAAAACACAGTCCATCCATCCATCCATCCATCCATCCATCCATCCATCCATCCATCCATCCATCCATCCATCCATCCATCCATCCATGCATCCATCCAACCACTTAATCCAGTAAAAATAAAGTCATTAATGTAAATAAAGTGTAAGCAAAAGTATTGATTTCATCACACTAGTATTGATCTGATACGATGCTCATCTTAATGTTGATACTAATTAATACTTAGATCAATATGCCCACCCCTGGTGATGGCATCCTGAGAAGAGAGATAACATTGACACAGTTGCTGAATTGTCTGACAGTCACTAAAGGTCATAAATCACCCCATGAAAGCAACATGCAGCATTAATAGGTTGACAGAGTTTGGTATGGGTCACAGTATGGATTTGCTTGTGATTGTATTATTTTGCCTGGTATATAAAATGTATGGATGCCACAGTGACCTAATATTGTAACTAATGTATACTGTATGTTGAAACCCTATATATGATGAAGTTCATCCAAAACAGACTATACTGAGGAGGGATTTTGTATTGTGTGCTAAGTATTAAAGAACCAGGCCATCCTGGGCACACCCTACTGTCACCATGGCCTGAACTGCCAACTCTGTTTTGAATTTATTCTGATATTAGAATCATTCCAATGACCTTTCAGTAGTTTCATTTTATTTCACAGTCCGGCATGCAAGCCTTCATCTCCAATGAGACAAGCATCTACAACTTTGGTGAGCTGATGAATTGTACCTAATTAAGGCATTACACCCAAAAGGTTTGCAGAACAATCCTGGTTAAACAAGCTGAGGCAACTTTGATATAATTCTTCTGACTTGCAGTAAAAATAAAAATTCCTAATAACCATAATAAACAATCTGACCAAGACCTTAGCACTCTCCAAATTGACAAAAACTTATCGATTTTAACCTGGGTCTCTTGTCAATTAATTAATAGAAGAAAATTATTTCCTTTAGGAAAAATAAATATTTTCATTCTATAAAGGTTTTAACATCAAGACCTTATATTAACTTAGACGTATAACATCAAGTCTACAATAACTTCCACCTTTAACTCTTTTATAAACTTATTGCTTCATCTTTCATGTTGTTAATTTTACCGTTTCTCTTCATGATTTAATGAAACTGATTCTTGCTATATTTTTGTAATAAATTACCATAAAAAAACAAAGCTGGTTCCTCATCTTTGGGTATTTTGGCCTGAGACAAGAATTCCCTGCTTGTCATAGTATGATCACTCACACTTTGGTAAATATGAGTCTGATTAAAAAGGGTGAATAAATATTGGTCAGTGACTGACCTGGTGCCCCAGCTTGGTAAAAGTGTAGTGCAGGACAGAAATAATTATCATCACTCTTTCTGTTTCTCTCCTAACAATTCGCTACAAACGTGAACACCTCTCTTTAGGTTTCTTCTCCAACACTTATTTGTGACACACATTCCCTTTGATGTCGACTGACT